TTCAGATAAGCCAACATTGTAAATAGAGTCTAACCAGTATGAAAATTGCTTGGGAATATTGTTTGGTGCATTGCTTGATTCCTAAATGTATTAATGGAATAGAGAGATAACTAAATCTTGCCCACTGATTGGAATTGCCCCCCACCCCATGTGATTATGAATCTTCATACTCAGGTTTATTCATTACACTTATCAGAGCTTATTGTTATCAAAGAAGAAATGCAGCAACTAACTTACCACAATGCGTCTAGTCAGTGAGAAAATTCAGTTTCTCAACCTGGATTACTTCTATTTTGTTACAGAGACCCTGGCATGAATTTGAGCATAATTTTCAGATCATGTATAGAGTAGGGATGGGTCATAAGCCACCGATTCCTGAAAGGATAAGTCCAGAAGGAAAAGATTTCCTTTCTCATTGCCTGGAGAGTGATCCAAAGATGAGATGGACAGCTAGCCAGCTCCTCGATCATTCATTTGTCAAGGTTAGTTAAGCTTGGCTATTCTTGATAGTAACTCTGGGGATCTTATTCTTTAGAACATAAGTGGACCTGTTTAAATTAAAAAGAGCCTGTGGATTTTAGTTCTAGTTTTCATAAGCAATTACTGCACATTTTTCTTCTTTTAGAGTCGTCAGAAGAACTGGAACAGCATAAATCATTCAGCATAAATACGTAACCCCCAACTTAACTGGGAGATAAAGACATTGCTTGCATTTTCAGAGTTTTCCCCTATTGGCAAACTTCTAAATGATTAGGCTTTGTGTGCCTTTGGGACAATGAATAGTGCACAAAAAGGAGGTAGGGGCAGACTTAGGGGAGCCTACAGTTTTGCTGCCGGGCTAAGCATCTTTAAAGCAAAATAAAAGTATCCTAATTCTAACCAGATATGCTCAGCGGCTATAAGATGCTGAAGGAGGACAGGTGATGGCACGAAGGGCATTAGCTTGAATCCCAATCAGCATGATTCCAAAGTGCAACATTTGGCTCAGTCCAAGGGTGTCCAACCTTAGCAACTTTAATTTCTTAACTGGTGGCCATGCTGGCAATGGAATTCTGGGAGTTGAAGTCTTCACACCCAGAAATGGCCAAGGTTGGGAAACACTGTCCAACAGCATCATACCTTTAAAAGAAAAGCCTAATAGAGCTAATTATCTGTTGTCTCGTTACCACCCAGGTGTGCACAGATGAAGAATGAAGCTATGCACATGGTTGCCTGTATTCGGGTGAAGTATTTTTGAATCACTACTATATGTAATATTTACATTTGGACTGTGTTGAGACACAGGATATGACTCAAGGCCTAACAAGACTGAAGACTGCACAAGTGACAAGCGTCACTTTTACTGCTGCTGCTGTTTGTTTCCCTTGGCACCTGTTGTTCCCCTGGCAGCCCCATGAGTTTAAAGAAGCTGCATGTTTCAGTGAAAGTGCCATTACTACTGTATAATGGACCATGACCTTATTTTTGTCCTTTCTCTGTTTCTCAGATGACTGAGAACTGTAATGTTAATATGTAGGATTTTTGAACTTTTAGGTTCAAAAACAAAGTTAGTGTTATATCAGGCATTCTGAACCTTATTTTTAATCTCCTGTTTGTTGAGTGCACTGACTGTGAACTTCTATTTTTCTGTTTTTTTTTTGTTTCTGTTTTTTATTGGCCAGCTTGATTCGTTATGCAGATGTTGATTGAAGAAATTTAAAAGCTTTTTCTCAATAAATGGTTTATTTTAGGAAGTCTTTGGTTTCCTATTTTGTTGCTGAAGCTGACACTTAAATGGTTTTCTCCTCATCAGGAGTCTTAGTTGCACTTGTGTAGCTGTTTGAGCTATAGTTTGGATAGGGATTTTAAAATTTCTGGGAAGGTAAGTAGCTTTTACTATTGCTCACAGTTATGCTTATATCTTGCCACTAAAGCTTAATTCAAGAGAGAATCCAGATCTTCAGATGTAACTAATGTAGGAATCCGTTATGGCATTCACCTGCAATTATAGACTTCAGTAACATATCAGGCTGTGGTTTTATCTCCCTACTATTGCTATGGTAGTTCTTTCTCCCCAAACCAAAATTCAGAGTTGCAAGTGTAATGAAGCTTCTATAAATAATTCCTTTAAATAGTTCAGTGGTTCATTTCCTTGAACAAAGGAAATTCATCTCAGAGAGAAAAGTGGTTGTCAGCCAAGAGTAGCTAAATTGCATATGATTTTCAAAGCAAAAGTCTAGCAAAGAAGATTCTAATTCAGTTTGTGCATATTTGGCTACCATTAGAAGAGCTTAAACTTAATGTTTGCAGTTCTCTTACACAGACTGAATTGCCAAATTTTAATCCTCGCTTTTTAACTCCTCTACTTGTTTAAATCAGATGTGGCGTCTCCCTGTACAATATCCATAGTTGCAATTCTTTTATAAAGACACATGCATGCATCCCCATTGATATCATATGCTTATATTTAGCATTGATTTCTCAGCACCCTTCTATTTCGTTAATGATGTGTTGAAAAGTACATTCACATCTAAGTACACTGCTATTTTAGCAAAAATCAAGCTATATATCTTCCTTGGCATTTGGATATTATGGTAACATATGGGTTAAAAGTTGATTAAAACATGGCATCTAGGGTCAGTTCACTTTTTTAGACTAAAAGCAATGCTTGTCAATGAAGCACTAAATGTTTAATTTTGCTTAAATTATAATCAGGGTTTTTTGTATTTCATGTGGTTTCAGAAGTTGAAAGAAATTAAGCAGGAATGAGACAGCCTTTGAAATAAAGTAATCCTGCTGTACAAGGAAGTAAGTTTCTATTTCCAAGAAGTACATCATAAACGACACTGGTCAGGAGGATCCAGTTGGTATTCCCATCATTATTATCCATTGAAAACAAAAGTTCAACGAGAGATTTTTTTTTCAAGTCAACTTTGAATATGCAGTAAATATAAGGATGGGGAATCGTAGGTCCGTTAGAGTAATAGGTGGATAAGTAATGGACTGAATGCAGCAGTAAAGTGAAGTGTTTTGGAAATCACTTGTTCAGTATAATGGAAAAGGGTAACTGAATGAGAGAATTTAAATACATTATCTTGAATTTCTCCATACCACAAGTAGTCCTTGACTTACGACTACAATTGAACCCAAAATTTCTGTTGCTAAGAGAGACAGTTGTGAGCTCTATGACCTTTCTTGTCACAGTTGTTAAGTGAATCACTGCAGTTAAGTCACCTGTTTAGTGAATCTGGCTTCCTCGCCACTGACTTTGCTTTTCAGAAGGTTGCAGAGGGTGATCACATGACCCTGGGACACTGCAACCATCATAAATGAGTCAGTCGTTTTGATAACATGACCATGGAGAAGCTGCAGTGGCCGTAAGTGTGAAAAGCAATCATAAGTTCTTTTTTCCAGTGCCATTGTAACTGAACGGTCAAACGAACTGTTGTAAGTTGAGGACTGCCTCTATATCAGGAATGAAGTTACCTGCGTACCGGTCTCCGGGATTAATGATTAATAAAAGAGCCGAGGTGGCGCAGCATTTAGAGTGCAGTACTGCAGGCCACTTTAGCTGACTGTGTTTAGCAGGTCAGCGGTTCAAATCTCACCGGCTCAAGGTTGACTCAGCCTTCCATCCTTCCGGGGTAGGTAAAATGAGGACCCAGATTGTTGGGGGCAATGTAAATATATATATACATTGCTTACTGGTGTACACCATTTAGAGAATGCTTGCACTTAAAGCGGTATATAAGTCTCATAAATAAATAAATAAATGATGGTAACATGTTGAAAGCAACTGAGCTAAATAAAAGGGCAAGCTAACCAAAAAGATCTGTTACTTGGAGTCTGCTATAAATCAAAGCAGTCAGAAGAGGTAAAGCAGCATTGAAGCTTCAGAAAAAATTAAAACAGTTTTGATGAAAGATTTCAACTATCCAGGTATCTGTTAAAAGTCTCATTCTGCCAAATATATCAGCTAAATTCTTGTGGTCCTGATAATTTTCCCTTTCAAAAATAAGAGGGTGGCTCTGTTAGCTTGGAATTGGTCCTTGCTAAGGGATTCACAGAGTATTTTTAAATGGCTGGGATGTTGGATACACCATTAACTACTAAAAACAGTCTACCTCAAACAATGAATTTTAGAATGCTAAACAAACCATTGTAGTATAAAGGTTGATTTTTACTTAAGCCACAGAACTCTAAAGCTTTGTTTACAAATTAAAATATCAAGAGTTTGCAGATTTATTTGGCCTAAACCAAATAATCTACATTAGAGTTTGGTGTAATATATTATTAGAATATGATAAACTCTACAGGGAGACATAATAGCAGCAGTGCAGATCTATACATCAAAGAGGCCAGAGTACTATCCAAGCTGAGATACTGTCAATATTCTAATACAGGGGTAGGCAACCCAAAACACTCGAAGAGCCACTTGGACCCGTTTCCCACTGAAAACCAAACAGCGGGAGCCGCAAAACCCTTTTGATATCTAAAATGAAGATAACACTGCATATATCTTTGTTTACCTTTATTATAGGTGTGTGTGTGTGTGTGTGTGTGTGTGTGTGTGTACGTACATACACAGAGGTAAAAAAGGATATATGCAATGTTATCTTCATTTTAGATGTCAAAAGGGTCTATCTGCCCTTGGTCTGCCAGTCCTCTTCCCCCATTCTTTCTTTCTCTCTCTTTCCTCTCTCTCTCTCTCTCTCTTTGTCCCCCCCCTCCCGTCTCTCCTCTCCTATCTGCTGCTCACCTGGCAAACTGGCTTCAAGCTGTTCTTCAATGAGCTCGGGTAGGCAACCTCGGCTCTTTTACGACTCATGGACTTCAACTCTCAGAATTCCTGAGTCAACATAGCTGGGCTAGCTAGCTCTCTCCCGCCTTCCTGCTGACGCTGCAAAGGGAGGAGCTCTGCCCAATAAGCTTTTCAGCTCCTCGGAGAATACTGCGAGTGCATTCTCTTTTACACACACAGAGAGACAAGCAGGGAAGCGCAATTGCCTCTCTCTGTCTCTGTCTCTCTCTGCAAAGGCAGAGGAGGCTGGGAGCCACAGGGGAAGGCTCAAAGAGCCGCATGCGGTTCCGGAGCCGCAGGTTGCCAACCTGTGCTCTAATATAAATAATTTTCATGATCATTATATCATATACTAGGAATGCAGCCAATGTAACATCTGTATTTAAAATTTAAATGAGGATTCTAGAAAAGATGGGACATATAATTTACTATCTAATTTGGATAATAGTATTAAAGGTAATACTGTGCATATAGAAAATACATTTTAGTGAATAAGAGTTTCTATAGAAATAACTTTACTAATGCTTTGAGTTCCTTGGGAATGTTGATGTATGAATAACTGCATTGTGCTGGGTATTTCTGTAAATGGACTTTTAGACAGCTTTTAACTTTACTGAAATCTTGGGAGTAAAGAGACAGTCTTTTATAGATTCATAATGATTAAAGCATAAGAAGCAAAAAAGGAAAAATTACAGTAGAAGAATGCAAGAAATAGATTACTTTAGGTCAGGATATGTAATTATGACTGGAAATGTTAAACCTTTCCAAATGTAATAAAGGATTGAGAATGAGTACTCTGGAGCCAAGTCCAGAAAGGAAATAAACAAATGCAAATTTAAAAAAATGGGATTGCAAAATAAAAGAGCACTAACTGCATTCACTTCACTTTCTGAAGTGAACTGAAAACGAACTGGTAATACAAGTCTCTCTGCAAACTGAAAACAAATGTTAAGGGGAAAGTCTTCCTATTTTTATCAGGCTGGCCAAAGGATAAATATTTGGATAGTGCTAAGTAGCTCAGTGAAAGTACTATTCAAGTATCACTCATTGGTTAAAACAATTACTTCCGCAGAAATAGAAGTGAAACTAAACAAACCTAAAACCATTTGGAATACAGACTATAATAAGCCTCTCTGGGCTTTCCAGAGGCAGCTTGTTGGTCACAATTGGGAAACGCCACCAGACTAGAAAGAGCAAAGTAAGGAAGTTCTTACTTTCTTAGTTAAATACGTAAAATACTCATTTTGGTCATCTTGTAGGAAAGTAAATTTTATTTCATATTTTAATCCATTAAAGATTTATTCAGAAAAAAAGAATATTAATTCCTTCATTTGCTTTCTTCCTATACTTTGCATATTGTCTCTTTCTTAGTTAAAAAAACCCCCTGCTTCTCTGAAAAATCTGAATAAAAAAAGTATAGAAAAAAATAAAATGAATTGCAGACTATTGATTCTTGTTGCCAGCTGGAGCAGGGTGGGGGTGGGGGGAGAGATGGATAGAGAAGAGACGTGACTTCAGTGAAGGCATGAGCTCTCTCTAACAGATTCCTGGTCTTCATGTCTGAAGATAGATGTGCACAGCAGTTCACAAGCTTGTTCCCTTTGGGTATGAAGCAGTCTCTGGAGATTTCATTTTTGCTTCTCCTTGTGTCCGTGGTTGCCATAAGTTGAGCCTTTGTTAATTTCTGTTACTGCTATCATCCATCGAACACCAACTGAAACTGAAATTTTAAAAAAGAGGATATCTGGTGTTAAACACAGAGAAGTAAGGAGAAGGAGAAAACTATTAGCAAATTCTCTTGCATATGCAAACTTTATATTGCATATATATAGCATATACAGCATATACCAGTGGTGGTGAACCTATGGCACGGGTGCTAGAGGCGGCACTCGGAGCCCTCTCTGTGGACACACATGCCATTTCCCCAGCCTTGCCTCCCCCATGACTCCCTCCTCTCCGTGGCCCACACAGAGCAGCGCAGCCAAGGACATGGCAGCCAGGCAGCGTAGACAAGACTCTGCCCTCACACCCCATCATGCAGTTGATGCTGCAGGGCGCGGGCAGAGGGTTGGCCATCATAGCGCTGCTGGGTTGCCTGGGCGATCTCCGGCAGGCCCTGGAGGCGGTGAGTGGTCCTGTGGGCAGGTGGGGGGATGGGGGGCAGAGTGGGGGCGGGCAGGGGGGTGGAGCGGAGGCGCGGCCAGTTTTGGGGCACTCGGTCTTTAAAAGGTTCGCCATCACTGACATATACAAACTTTACATTGCCCTGCTAGTACTTTGCCATGTTATGCAAAGAAAGAGAATTATTCAGCCTTTGGGATATCATGCTAGAAATAAATGCTTTTCTTCTATAGTTTTAAAAATATTCTAGGAGAAAAAATAGGCACAAAAACACACACTGCTGATTGTCAGATCCTTTGTTCAACTAGACGGATTACTGTACAATACTGCCCATTTTATCTCTTTAAAGTTATATCACTTGTTTAAAATCATTTATATATCCCTTACTGGAAATGCTTTGTGTGCAATAATTGATTAAAAGAATACAGAAATTTCTCTAATGAAGAATTATTGGTGGTATCAAGAAACCAGGAGCCAAGACAGAGTTCAGAAAGCGCTACATGTTTATTACATGCAACCTACATACAAGAATCTGATCTACTAACGATCAAGGCAAATTGGTGCCAGATAAGAGTCAATGGACTTGATTCAAGGGAGGCTGGCCTTGGATTTCTTTCACGGGTGTAGGGACTCCAGACTGATGATGCATTTGACCCAGGCCCTTACAACTGGCTAATTTGGGGGCATTAAAATATAGAATGCTATATATGCCGTTCGAAAGTCTTCTGAAGATCAAAGGGCTTCCTTCCAGACAATGTGGTGATTAGCCTGTAACCCTACAAAACCCTTGATCTTTAAATGACTTCTAAAAGCATGACCCTCCCCAAGCCTAGTCAAACAATTTTGTATCGTATAGCTGCAAGGATATTACGAGTTAACTTCTAAAACTCTTCTCCCTCAGTGATGGTAGCAGCAGTGTCTCTTACGGCATAAACAATTGCCAAGCGTTTTGACAGCACTTAAATTCAACAGTAGCAATAAATAAATACAATAAAATATTCTCTGCAGAGAGCACAAATGCAGTTATCATTTCCTCCACCCTAAATATATATTCACTTGCTACAGAATAGTATGGACTATGAACAGAAAATTCATTGTGGTATTAGAAAGACTGAGGTTGCCTGATTCATCTGAGCTTAACAGTTTTGTGACAGGCTATTAAATAATCCTATAACCATACTTCCAAAGCAGAATAACCAACCACCAAATACACCATTGGGGGAAGACACTCAACAACTCCAGCTAGGAAAATCCAAGAATCTGACATATATAAGATATATAATATTCCCATTATATCAAAATAGTTTTGAATGAGCAAAGTTAAAAACTACATTGGTCATAAAAATAAGAACTCAAAGCACAAGTTAATCCCACAAGTGACATAACGCCTTTTGCATCAACTATATATATGGCTTCCTGGGCTGGACAGCATTCTGTGTGCAGAACTTGACTGCTGTTTCATTTTTTTCCAAATGGATCTTGTATATGATGACAGCTTTCTGCGATTATTACTGACCTTTAAAGCCATGTCCTAAATGGAAAAGGTACTCTGTGATAGCAGTAAGTCCGTGCAAAGTTTTAGATCGACATAAAAATGTAACAACTAGTCTCAACTTTTACATGCAATTCAGATTATTTCAAGTCAACTTGGTTTGGTGGAAAATATTGGAAAAATTACTGTTTTCTGTTTAACTGGAACCTCAATAATAACCAAGAGAACTAAGCACTATAAGTTCAGTTTTCACAATATCTCAGCCCATCTGTTACTCTAATAGACTTGAGTGAGATACTCAGTCCTGGGTCAGCGCCAACAATTTCACTTACTGGCTTCTAGCCTTCTTCAAGGTTTGACTCCTAGCAGAGGCCTAGAAAGGAGGAGAGAAAGAGAGAGAAAGGAAACACATGCACAGGAACACATGCACCATTCAGTTGAAACTGCATGCTCATGAATTTTTATAAAAGACATTGTGTTGAAGCTGTTGCAGAAATTATTGAAAAGAATCCACAATCTGTAGTGTAAGGTACAGCCTCGCTTTTTAAAGGGTATGGGTGGTCCTAATTTAGTGACTGCCTTGTTAAACAGCCATTTCAAGTTAACAGTGGTTGGGGGGGGGGGAAACTGATCACTCCTTCCATTTACAGCCACTATTACATCCTGGAGTCATGTGATCACCATTTGGATCCTTTGCAACCCTTATTTACAACAATCACAGCATCCTGTCATCACATAATTGTCATTTATAAGCTTCACAACTGGTTTCCAACAAGCAGATTTAAGGGAGAACAGATAAGTGGAATCAAGTCATTAAGTGAGATGTGATGTCTCACTTAATGACCATGGTGATTTGCTTAATGATGGAAGTGACAGTGAGACAATGAGTCACAAGATTATTTTGCTTAAGAGGCCAGGACACTCGGTAACAAGTTTCCAGTCCCACCTGCTATTAGTAAGCAAGGTCTGTTATACTTCCTACTCAATTAGATTACTGATCCACAATCCATTTTAATTCTTGCTACAAACAGATGAAGAGGGAAGGGAATAGTTTATAGAAACTGTGTGAGAGACAGGAGTGCAAGGTAAAGAACTCATCTCAAAATGTCTTAAATATATTACCAATTTCTGTACAATTTGGTCATAATGCTTCTAATAATTAGCTGATTTCACTTTCAGCTGAAATTGAACTAGATCAGGGGTGTCAAACTCGCAACGTCATATGACATGTCGCGACATATCGCAACTTTTTTGCCATTGCCGGCAATGGGGTGGGTGTGGTTTCGCTATGATGCATCTGGCCCATCTGTACTCATGGTTGAAATGAGAGATCTTTGGGGTTGATTTTTTGGGGGGGGGGCAGACATTTAATTCACCACTGATGATATTACCTAGTCTGGACAATGAAATGTCTGGCAGAAAACAACCAAGCTCAGAATATTTTTGAATAGCAGCTTAATAAGGCTAATATACTGGCAATCACCCGGAAAATGAAAACTATTGAAAATAAACATCAGAGGAAACAAATACATTTGATGTTGTGATAGCAGCCACTAGCACTACATTGTTCAGAGACTTCAATCAATTATGTATGGGGCTTCTCTATAGGGTATATTTTATGTGAATGTGCAGAAGAACAATCCATTTCACATATCTACAGTGCATAGGATACCCTTCAACATGTACAGAAGAAAGTCTCATGCTGGTGAAAGAAAATGCTGTTGAAGTAGTAGCCCAATATCGGGTGAATGTCACTTAATTTTAATCCTATTTGTTTTATATACTACTGGTATATTTCTATGATCTATTTAATACATTTTACATGCTCAGTGTTGAACATCCGTATGGCTACAATTTGAAGGTGCTTCTGACATGAATAAAGAATCATTATCTTAACTCTTCTAATTGACCAAGTACTCCCTCTGCTGGGTGGTTTCTTGCAAATCCTTTTGAAACACTCCACATTTACTACAGTTGTGCAGCACTCCAGGTTGAAAGACAAGATGCTTCACAGTGCATGAGACAGTAGCATAGCATCTATCCACAACCATGTCCTTTATCCAGATTGCACAGCTGCCCTGTATAGTTGTAGCAATAACCCAAGGCAAAAAGACATACTCGTTTTAAGAAGTTGCAGGTAAGTGCTATGTATGCACCCCTGTATATTCCAAAGTACCTTTCTATAATGTTCATCAAGATACTCTTCCTGTATTTTTACCAACTGATTATTGCATACTATTATTTTGATATCCCAAGCTCATTTTTTGCCTTTGTTGTCTCTTTATGTCACGTTTTTTAGAATATAAACCTGTAGGCAAGGACTCCCTACTCACCCCCATTCCCTTCCCCCCCCCCGTTAAATTCCTCATAAAGCCTCTGTGGTCAAAGAGAGGAGTAACTTCTATTAATGTACAAAAAGCAACTTTACAACCCCCCCATCTACTTTTTGAACCTAGCTAATCATCTAGAAGAGCTCAAATTGAAAATCTATTGACACAATAGGAAAGAAAGCCCTAAGAAACCAAAACATTTGTTGGTCACAGTAGCAATGCAAATGTGTTAGATTTATCTCCTGACTTTCCTTCTGGAGCTGGACACGCATCCCACTCATTCCTTACATGATGAGAAAGGTAGGATTGTACAAGAGCAAAAGATTGATTTGATGAGCTGCTGTGGCTGAGGAAGGTCTTGCATCTAGATCTCCTTGTCCTAATCTGAGTGAACATCTTAACCACTACACCACACCGGATCTCTCAAATGGCCACTATTCTGCTAGATACTATTAAGTGGAGAGATACAAATTGGTAAAAGCAGAAACAAGATAACATTTATCTATGCAGGACTTTATTTAATATCAATGTTAACCTCAGCCTTCAAATGTTCTTGATATAAAGTATGTGCTCAAACCATTACCTCCTTACTAAACAACAAATGCCCTTCATTAGGGGAGCACGTCGCATATTCCGCTGTCACAAGAAAGTAATACCTAAAGACCCTAATGAGGTCAAGTCCAACTTTATTCAACTCTCAGCTACACAAAGCAAGGTCATTTTTCAAAACTGAATTTCTGGAATTCAAATAGCTTATGCAAATCACTCCTCCAGAAG